TGAAGTCTCCCATTATTAGTATGTGGGGCTTGATATGTGATTAAGCTTCAGTAATGTTTGTTTTACAAATGCGCATGTCCTTGTAATTGGGGCATAGATATTCAGAATTGAGAATTCATCTTGATGGATTATTTCCTGTGATGAATATGAATTACCTTTCATCTCTATTGATTAATTTTAGTTTGATGTATATTTTGTCAGATATTAGGATAGCTACATCAGAGTGTATCTTAGGTTCATTTGATTGAAAAAATCTTTACCCAATCCTTTACTCTGAGGTAACGTTTGTCTTTGAAGGAGAGGTGCATTTCTTGTATGCAGTAGAAGGATGGATTCTGTTTCCATATCCATTTTATGGGTCTGTGTCTTTTTCTAGGTGAGTTTAGTCCATTGTTACGAAGGGATATTAATGACCAATTATTGCTAGTTCCCATTACTTTTGTTTTTGAGTCGTTGGTAGTATTATGTATGGGTTCTCTTAGGGATTTGCTGATGTGGGATTATCTAATGCCTGTATTTTTATGGGTGTAGCTAACTTCCTTTGGCTGGAGTTTTCCTTTTAGTAATTTCTGTAGGGCTGGATTTGTAGATAGATACTTTTTGAAATCGGGCCTTGTCAAGCAATATCGCGTTTTCTCCATCTAGGCTAGCATTCATGGTCCCTTAAGTGTTGCATAATACCTGAGTAGGACCTTCTTACTTTCCATTGAGAAGTCAGGTATATTTTTCATAGGTCTGCCTTTATATATAACTTGGTCTTTTTCCTTGGAAGCTCTTAATATTCTATCTTTCATACACACACACAAACACATGACAGGGTTTCTAGTCTGGCCTTAAATTCATATCCTTCCACCTCTGCCTCCTGAGTGCTGGTATTAAGGGCAATCACCACACCCAGTGTTTTTTCAGAGGGTTCTGGTGTTCAAACTTGACAAGGCATGCTCTTCACTGACTGAGCTATCTCCACAAACACCCCACTCCCTTTTTTTTCTGTATTGTGTTTTGTTGTGTGACAGGGTCTCATTGACCCCACCTGACCTTGAATGCATTATGTAGGTTGGAAGGTCCTTCAATTCCTTTTGGAAATCAGATAATAGCAAACTCAAGAGACTGGTGGAAACTAAGAGGTTTTCACAATATGCAATTCTGCAGAAACGGACTCCAGCATACAGACAGGTCATAAATGGTCAAGGTGCTGCTTTGGTACAAGACAGTGGCTTTTATAAACTTATTGAGAGACATTCCTGTTCTCTCCTGCAGGCTTGCAGGACTTGCATCCACTAATTCCACATCGCATTGGCCAGGACAAAATCCTCATGCAACAAATAATTTGGGACTTGAGACTGGCCCCTTCTGATTGGCAGCTTCCCTGATGTGATCCAGCTGAATTACTGAGCACAGCACTTGTACCTTTCTGAAAATAAAGGTGGCTAGGGGCTAGGTGGGGAAGAGGGTCTTAGAGCAGCCTGCTTGTCTGTCACTATGATCAACTCTAGCTCACCTCATATTGAGAATGGACCATAACAGTCTCTTTCTTACACCCCTTATCCTTCCCTGACATCCCCCAAGTGCTGGGTCTGCAAGTGTGTACCACCATGCTGGCCTAGGGAATTTTTCGTTACCGCTTGACATTGTAAGGAAAAGGTCCAGCCAAAGAAACACACCCCGAGCAGAGCCAATGAAACACACTTTAGCCCTGCAACCAGAGCCAAAGAAATGTACCCTGATCCTGAAACCAGTGCCAAAGAAACACACTTTGTCCCTGGAATCAGAGTCAGTGAAAGGAGTACAACCTGACCCTAAATTTAGAGCTAAAAGGCTAAAAAGGACCAGAGAAAGAAACACACTTCGTCCATGAAATCAGAGCCAAATGTGACCCCCAACCCTGTGCAGAAAACTAACCAATCCTCGAGCAAGAGCTCTAGGCAATCTGAGCTCAGCATTGAAATCGGACCAATCCCTACCCTGGAAAAACTTCCCCTGCCCCCAAGAAATCCTATACAAACCCTGTGTATGTTCAGCTTGGTTGGTCCAACTGCTTCCTTTCAAGAAACCCCTTGGATTCAGCTCTCCACTATCCCGGGAGCAGAGCTGAACTGTAGCAACTTCTCCGTGAAACCTTCCCCTGCCCGAGCAAAACTGCTACACAGGGTGGCCATCCCCAGCTGGAAGACCCTCTCCTGCTGGAGCAGAGCCTATACACTGGGAAGCCCTTCCCTGAGGCAGGGCTGTAAGCTGCTACGCTTACTGTGACCTGTGGTATTTCTTGGCTCCCGAGCTCCAGAATACTGTTCCATCTGAGCTGTGCAACACTCAGTATTCTGTGACTCCCCAGCTCCAGGATACTTTTCCATCTGAGCTGTGTAACACTCAGTATTCTGTGACTCCCAAGTGCCAGAATTCCTGTCCTGCCTCATCTCTCTGAAATGCCTACTGGGCTCTAAACCTGACCTCTGTGCTCTGCTTGACTACCGGCACCCTGGAAGCCTTCGCAGATAGGCCTGCCCTCAGCAAGACTGTGGTTAACATCTCATCTCTGGGTGTCCTACAGCCCTTCAAGGGTTGGGGGCTGTACTGTGCCGGGAAGGCTGCCCGAGACATGTTGTACCAGGTCCTAGCTGCTGAGGAACCCAGTGTGAGGGGGCTGAGGGTGCTCCAGGTAGGTGGGTGATTCGGCCATTGCCGCCCCAGACATGGCTGGTGCCTTTCTGGCATCTGGAAAGGTAGGGAACTCATCAATATTCTCAGAAAAGAATCTAAAGAGTATATTGCTCCCCGCCCCCTTGGCTCCTCATCTTGCAAGGAAAATACAGACACAGAAGTTAGGGCTTTGAGGGAGAGAGGTACTCAGCATTAGGCACTGTCTAACTAGCAGTTGGGACAAAACATCCATGCACCTAAAAATAAATAAGTTAAACAATTTGAAAACAAAAGACTGCATTTCCTTTATATGCTTAGTTGTGTGTTTATATCCCTCAAGGGTCACATAATTTCCATCCATGTATCCTGAACACCTAGCAAACCTTCATGTAGGCCAGCCACAATAAATGTTCAAAGACAAGCAGGAGACCTTGTTGAGTGGTGAGCATCCCAGGCTGAGCTAAGCTGGAACCCTGAATGGGGTGGGAAAGGGGTGCTGGGATGAAGAAGACAGGGTCCTGTTCTCATCAGTCCTACAGTGTAGGTGGTCATCTGATGCCTTGTCTTGTCTCAGCAGCCTGTTAAGATGCCACTGTGCTGGGACCTTTCTTCTTGCCTGGTGATTTCTGTAGTTAGAAAGTAGCAACATATGGAGGAATGTGTGAGCTACTCAAGGGTGAGATCCAGGTTTCTGTTCCCCTTAGGAGGAGGTCAGGATCCTGGAGGCAGGTGGGATAATGGTCTGTCTACTACTTGAGTGGTCGGGCTAGGATTCAAACTAGCATCTATCTCTTGATCTACCTGGGTCTCCTCAAATTACCTGGCACTGCCCTTCACACACATCCATGAAATTGCTTGTTCCTGCCCACCTGCTCTGAGCTCAGCCTAGACTCATTCAGACAGCAGTGATCACATGTAAGCCACAGCTAGGAGGGAAGCTGATTGCAGATGAGCCCAGAGTTAAGTTAGCTCTCTGGAGGCTGCCTCAGAGATCGTGGAGGAATTAACTAAGAGGTTTAGTTGTCCCTAGAGCCTGTAGACAAGCAGGAACCTCTCTAGTAAGAACATTCTAACAGATTTCCAATGAGAGTGGAGTTTAGAAAGTCATCTCCCCTATCCCCATAGGCATAGGTGCTCAAGGAGATAAAACTAGGCATGGTAGAGCACTTGAGATGTGCGAGCAGAAGTTGAAACTCAGCCCTGGCCTTACAACAATTCAGAGGCGTGTGTGGGCTAAAGGAGACTGTTTCTCAAAATGAGACAGGAGGGCAGGCTAGAGGACATTAAATGACGCAAAGTGATTCTTCATCCAGTCCTGGGTTCCACAATTTTTCTATCCCTGAACACAATTAAAATTTGGTAGTTTACACAATTCTTGATTGCTGTTTATTAGCATGAGGAAGACATTTTCCAGAAAGCAAGTATAGTTTAGAAAGGTGATTAGTGACGTGTGTGTGTGTGTGTGTGTGTGTGTGTGTGTGTGTGTGTGTGTGTGTGTAGAGAGAGAGAGAGAGAGAGAGAGAGAGAGAGAGAGAGAGAGAGAGAGAGAGAGAGAGAGAGAGAGAGAGAGAATGAGCGAATTTGTGTTGGGCTTATGGGTATTTTGCCTGAATGTGTTTTTGTTCATCACAGTCAGTGCCTGCAGTGGCCAGAAGAGGGCACCATCTCCCCTATAACGGGAGTCAGATGGTTGTGAGCTGTAAATCAAACCCTGGTTTTCTGCAAGAACACCAAGGTCTCTCAACAGGGAGCCATGTCCTCTCACATCCCCTACAATCAGCTTTTTACTGGGGATCTGAACTCAGGTCCTCATGCTTGTACACTGAGTACTTTACCAACTGAGTTCCAGTCCAGGGCTTTGAGGACCCAGGTGAATCAGCAGAGGGCAGCAAGATGAACTTATCAGAGGGTTGGAGAAGGTGACGAAACAAGGAGAAAGCAAGGTTATGGTATAGACCTGATTGAGATCAAGCTGACATCTCACCTGGTCCCTGGTTGGCTGAGGTGGAGTGAGACACCTGTGGGGTCCTATTTTCTATTGATAGAGTGGGAAAGTCGGGAAGAGGTGTCACGTGGATAAGAGATGATGAGCTTGATTGTAAACCACCCTTAATACACTTTGGCTTTGAGTTCAGAACTCAGTAGTCATGTGAGCTGGGCATGGTGGCTGTCACTCATAATCCTGGTCTTTAGAGGCTACAGAGGGGAATCTGGAATTTCAACAGAGACAATAGCTGAAAACAGAAAAACGAAAAAACAGACAACATAATGGAGCCTTGGGCCAGACCTGACTCAGCTCCACCCTCCACACACAGTGGGACTTCAACCTCTGTCCCTGTCTTGAACTTTCCATCCACTAGGTCCCCTGGACAAAGACATGCAGCAGTTGGCTGGAGAAACCTCCAAGAACCCAGAGTTAAGGACCAGACTGCAGGAGCTGAAGTCGAAGGGGGAGCTGGTGGATTGTGGGACCTCATCCCAGAAACTGCTGACCTTGCTGCAAAAGGAACTTTCCAGTCTGGAGCCCACATGGACTTCTATGACTGTTAAGACCATGTCCTGCCACTGCGAACCCTCCACCTGACCTAACTCAAATGTAACCAGTCAGATACACCTAGCAGGGTGTGACTGGAACTATCAGTCATCAGACGGCTGGTGAAGGAATTCATAGAGAGGAGTGATGCGTATTGGAGATAGTTCTCTTTGCACAGGAAGAGAACTGTTCTTTTCCATACAGGTTTTCTCTGTGTAGCTCTGGCTATGCTGAAACTTGCTCTTGAGACCACGCTGGCCCAGAACTCACAAAGATCCTACTGTCTCTGCCTCCCAGGTGCTGGCATTAAAGGCGTGAGCCACCAATGGCAGGGCCAAGGAAGAGAACTTTAGAGCTTGGACGAGGAGGAAAGCTGAAACACTGAACAGAGGAGGTTGAGTGTCTTTTCTGTGGGATGAGGAGGGTGGGATCTGATGTGGAAAGAGGACTAAGGACATCACATTAATGCTCCTTGAATTGCTTATGTTTGTTCTGTTGTCTTCTTCCTCTGTATCCACTGTATCCCGTTGACTCTGGTCCAACCACATAGGTATTAGGCACATGCAACAGAGTGTGGGCTGCCCTTCAAGAATGCCTGCTGATGTCCTCTAGAGGGCACAGGAGTGGCACCCCAGTTCTTTAGTTAGGCTGTGCTGAGAATTTACTGTCACTTCCCAGAGCATGGCCACAGAGCTGTCTGCTTTCTGGCTTCCAGGCCCATACAGTGGAAAGTGTAGATCTGAAGTCATCGAGAAAAATCTACCAGGATACCTATGCCCTTGTCATGCTTCTGTCCACACTGAACAACTTTACTGCCATTTTCTTAGGTCCTAGAGCTAGTCCAGGAGTATCCATGCTCAGGACCCAATAAAGCAGACAGTCATCAGTAGTGAGTGCTGGGATTTCCAGTTCTAACCCCTTGGCAACCTGGCAGTGCTGTAAAAAGTTCCCGGCTCCTCTGGTGACCCCTGTTGACACTGTCCCTGTTGCTCATGGTCTTCTGTGCAGAGGATGTTGAGAGATTTGAACCTTATGCAGAGGTCAATCATGCATGCATGCCCGCCTGCACACACAGAGGCCACAGTTCCAAGTGGCATCTTAGTTTGACTTACATTTTTAGGTGTGTTCTTTCACTGACTCTAGCTCACCAGTTAGGCTAGACTCGGAGACTGGCAACCAGAGAGTACTGGGATCTGCCTGTCTCAATCCACCCAAGCACTGGAATTACAGATTGTATCACTACACCAGCTTTTTTGTTTGTTTGTTTCTTTGGTTTTTCGAGAAGGGTTTCTCTGTATTGTTTTGGAGGCTGTCTCTCCAGCCCGGCCTGGAACTCACAGAGATCTGCCTGCTTCTGCCTCTCAATTGCTGGGATTAAAGGCGTGCTACATCACCGCCTGGCACTACACCAGCTTTTTACAACATGCTGGGATCTGAACTCAAGATGTAATGTTGAGCAGCAAGTGTTTTCCCAACGAGGCATCTCCTCAACCCCCAAGACTTGCATGAGACCCAAAAGGGAAGAGGAGCAACGTTAGGGAGAGGAAATACCACTTTGCTCTCTGGAGAAGTCAGATACAGAAACCAAAGCAGACCCAGTGAGGGTCAAAGACTGGGACAAGTGTGCATAAACACAATGTGGGTATAGGGAGAGTTCTGTGGGGAAGATACCTGGTACCAAATTGTCCATTTGAGTTCCATCTTAGCATCCACATAATGGAAGACACAACCAACTTGCATAGATTGATCTGACCTTCACATGCATGTCCCTCCCCTAAGTATAATTACACTATGGTTCAAAACTTCAAAATGGGTGGGGTGGTGAAGGTGCATGCCTTTGATCTCAGCACTCAAAAGAAAGAGGCAGGCAGATATCTGTGAGTTCAAGGCCAACCTGGTCTACAGAGTGTGTTCCAGGACAGCTATGACTGTTACACAGAGAAACCCAGTCTTATGAAAACAAACACACAAAAAACAACAAAAAAGAACAAAACAAAATTCAAAATGGATCTGGACAGTTGTTGGGCATACCTTTAATCTTAGCACTCAGGAGGCAGAGCCAGGCAGATCTCTGGGTTTGAGGCCAAGCTGGTCTACAGAGCAAGTGCCATGAATGCCAGGGATACACACAGAAACTGCCTTCGAAAATCCAATGTAAAAACTTCAAAATGGGAGCTGGCTGTGAACTTGAGTGCTGGGAGTATATTTCTGAAGCACCAGCCGTCCTCATTGTCCTCTGCCTGTTGCTTGGGGCTGGCATTTGCATTCAAGCAGCAATAGACTGATATCTGGACACAGAGAGGCTAGTGTGTTGTTTTGAGACAGTGTCTTTTCTGTAGCTCTGCTTGGCAGACTTGGTAATATGTAGCCCATGCTGACCTTAGCTCTTGATGCAATCTGCCTCAGGTACCTGAGTGGCTGCGATTATGGATGTGCTATCACTTCCTGCTTCACATGGGCCTGCTTTTGTTTTACTGCATCGATACAGAGTCTCAAGGATTTTAGGTTGTTATTGAACTTCCTACATAGTAGAGGGTTTCCTTGACTTCCTCATCTTCCTGTACTATGCGTCCTTAACTCTTGGAATACACAACACTGACTCCTGAATCCTAGGAGTAAGGTATGTGCCTCTATGTCCAGAGTCACTCACAGATGTAGCAGACACCTGGAGAATGGTATTGAACTTAAAATGCCTCTCACTGGTTTCTCTCTAACATTAATATGACCAATTAAACCTCATTTTTGGAACTTGTTGATGAATTTGTCCCAATCATGGGGAATATTTCTAAGAAGGAAATCAATAGAAATAAGTATTGACTTAGGAGACATCTGATGAGCAATAATGATAAGGGATGTGGTAACAACTTGATCACATGACCAAGAGAACATGGTCTTATTAATGTCCAGCAAAACAAGCAAACAAAAAAGAACAGGGATGACCACCACAGCCAGTGAGCATCCCTTGTCTATGTGAGAAATGCTGCCTGACCATCCCAGGACAAGCCCAAGGGATATAATCATTGGCTCAACACACACTTATGCCTAGAAAATGACCAATCTCAGTACGAAATGACCAACTTCACTTCCAGCTCAGAACAATGTAGCTGGGCATTACCATCACCTTGGCTACCTGCACAGTCGGGAGCATGTCTCACTCTCCCGTAATAAACTTTCCCCTTGCTCACTCCTTTGCATCCCTTATCCCTCATCAATGACAGAGCAAACTGTAGAGCCAGTGGCTCAGGTGGTTCTGGTGACCACAGATCAATCATTGATTAGCTTAGCATCTAACAAAGACAAGAAGGGTGTCCTGATTTCACCACCATGGTCATGGTAAAATATGAGAAAAAGCAAGGAAAGAGAGAGTTTACTTGGTCTGCAATCCAGGTCACTGTCATTTAGTGGAATTCAGGCAAGAATTCAATCACGTACACATATCACTGCCAGACTCAAGAAAAGAGAGCTTTCTTGCTTGCTATTCAGGTAGTGTGTTCTATCCTAACAGTGCAGTCCAGGGCTTGACTTATGAGATATTCGAGTCTGTCCTCAACAATGAAGACAATAACCCACAGATGTGCCCACAGGACATGCTGATCTAGAATGCCTATAGACACCAAACGCTGCTCTGAGTATGATTTGTGAGATTGCTGTGTGTTCTGATGGCAATGGTGGCCATTTTACTTGATAACTGTATTCCAAATACACATTTTCTTTCAAAAGGTGATGCGCACAACAAGGTACATTATTAAAAGACCAAGAGCTGGGGGAAAGAATTAGAATTCCCAGCATTCACATGATAGTTCACTCAAGTTCCAAGAGATCCTGTCTGATCCTATGGCCTCCAGTGTTACACAGAACCCAGAGATTTGTGTCTTTAGATGCACACATACATGTACTTTTAAAATGGTAAGATCATCAAAAGGACACATTTTAGGTCACTGATGTAGCACAGTTTGGATAGGGCTTCCTTAGTATGCTTTGAGTACTGACTTTGATCCACAGGTGTATGATATCAGAATTGAAGGGGTGATAAAGATAATCAGGAGTTCAACATAGGCTCTGATACATAGCATGTTCAATAGAAATCTAAAATATATGAGACTCCATTTAAAAAAAAGCTTCAAACAAAAAAAAAACACAGACCCACAAGGAGTGATGAGGTACAGCCATAATACCAAGAACTCAGGAAGCCAGACTGCTTCAAATGTAAGGTTAGCATGAGCTACATAGCCCCAGGCCTGCCAAAGCAGAGGTATAGAAAAGAATTCGTCTCAAAACAACAAAAAGCAGCAAACACTGGGAAGTGATTTGGACAAGTACCCATCAGTGGCTTCCAGAAGCTGTCTAAGAACTACCTCTGGGAAAGTGCACCTGTGTCCAGCCAGCATCCACTGCCATTCTCTGTATGACATAGCCCTGTGTATCAAGGACAAAAAGGATCTTAGCCATCCCTGCACCTAACACAGTGATACAGGACCTGTGACCCCATCTGCACCTGATGGAATGTCCACTGGAGACTGTGGCCCTGACTGTACCTGAAGGATCATCCTCTGAGCCTTGGACCTACCTGCACCTAGAGGAGAGATCAGGACAAGTCTTCCTTGTCTGCATCAAGAGCAGTGATCACTGGAGCCACAGCTCCCAACTGCACCAATTGGAAGAACAGTGACCCCTGTGTAGGTCAAACCCCCCTGTACTGATGGAGGAACACATGGGTAGGCACAAGTGTAAGAAGGCACTCTGCAACATAAAGAATAGGACACCAACAGAAACTCGTTGTTCTACAACAGCAAGACAGGAATATCCCAATACAGATGAAGCAGAAGACAATGACCTTAACAAATTTTGATGAAGATGACGGAGGCCCTTATATAGAGGAAATGATGAAAATCCCTTAAAGAAGTAGAAGAAAACACAAGCAAAAACCAGGAAGAAATCAACAACATTCCTTAAACTAAACCAAGTAAAAACAATCAAACGGGTGAAGGAAATGGTTAAAGACTTGAAAACTGAAACAGAGACAATAAAGAAAACACAAGCCCAGGGAATTCTGGAAAGGGAAAATGTGGTTAATTATCAGGAATGACAAATGCGAACATACACAACAGAATACAAGCGACAGAAGATGGAATCTCGGGCGTTGTAGATACCATCCAGGAAAAGGATCCATCAGTCAAAGAAAATATTAAATCCAGCAAGCTCTTATCACAAAATATCCAAGACACTGGGGACACAATGAAAAGGCTGGAACTAAGAATTAGTAGGAATACAAGAAGGAGAAGCAGTCCAGGAAATCAAAGGAACAGAAAATACATTCAACATAATCATAGAAGATAACTTTCTGAACATAAAGGATATGCCTATGAAAGTACAAGAAGTTTACAGAAACCAAATAGATTGGACCAAAGAAAGTTCTCTTGCCACATATAATGAAAGCACTAAGCATATGGAATAAGGGAAATATAGAGCTTCAAAGAAAAA